CGTGAAATCATCGGCCGTCCCGGAATCGAACGGTCGCGGCTGTTTCACATTTTATTTATTCCCGATATTCGGACGCCACTTTACCCTCGTTCGAGGCGATCTTAAAGGCCACCGGACCAATCGTAATCCACCGATCGGTAATTACTTTATCCGCCGTATCCTTTTGCGCCAATAAACCGGTGCCGTTCTGGAATTTCTGAAAGGATCATCGTTCGATCCGTGTGTATCAAAGGGATCAATCGATTCGATTCCTCCCTTATCCCCCTGCCCCTGCCCCTCGCTTAAGTATGAGGATGACCGATCGAGTCTGAGTCCGCTTAGTTTCTCTCGATCGAGTGCTACTGGCGCCGGAAAAATTGCATATCGCAGATAAGTGCATCAATATTCCAGTACGAACGGTTTTTCTGTTTTGATTCGGATACGTTGATTATAGCGTTCGTTTTATCGTACGCTTTATCCTGTACGCTTTCTGCGTCCGTTATGGATCACTTGCTTAATTGGCGCAATTACTTTCTTCTCTAGTCGCGAAATAGTTATACGCGGTCATAAATAATCATAAAGACGAATTTATTTCTTGAATCCGCCAGCATCGTTAATCGAATAAAAATTTATCTAGATGAACATTTATCAGAATAAATCCTTTATTCGAATAAGAATTCATTCGATGGAGTGTTTATCCGTACAGGAATTCGTATGAAAAATAATTGATTTGAATACAAATGATAGAATACGGAGTGTTTTTTCTTTTTTAAGAATTATTCGAACGAACCGATGGAACAATTTATTACGAATAAATGAGTTATTCGAATAAACGGGTAGGACAATTTATGGCGAATAATGAATTATTCGAATAAACAGATAGAACAATTTATAACGAATAATGAATTACTCGAATAAACAAATAGAACAATTCATGACGAATAATGAGTTATTCGAATAAACAGACAAAACAATTTATGACGAATAATGAGTTATTCGAATAAACAGACAAAACAATTTATGATGAATAATGAGTTATTCGAATAAACAGATAGAACAATTTATAACGAATAATGAATTACTCGAATAAACAAATAGAACAATTTATGACGAATAGTGAGTTATTCGAATAAACAGACAAAACAATTTATGACGAATAATGAGTTATTCTAATAACAGATGGAACAATTAGTGACGAACAAAGTGTTCGACTAAAAGGAATTCGTTCGGACAATCGCCTTAGATAAATATTTCTCCGAAACGATCCGAATAATGCCGAACTCAGTAACGAACACGCAACTTCAACTGTTCGATCTCCGAGCAACTCGGTGCGCGCAATGTTGCATCATGTACCGAAACAGCTCGGACAAGCACGCAGCCCGTTCGAAAAATCGAAGCTCGCCCAGCAAATTACCCCTAACCCCCGTTCCACCGATTTAGATCTCCGTTCGAGGAATCGCCGATGCATTCGTCGCACGTACACCGGCCCCGAGGAAATAGAAAGTACAAGTGTACTAGCAACAAGGTAGAAATCCGAGAGCCGGAGACCGGTGACCAGGAGCACGTAACGCGGCTCCTCCTCGTCGTGTATCAAGAGCACGACGAGGGTGGAACAGCGGGCACGGTTAAATCGTATGCAAAAGAAGGAACGCCGGTGGAAAAAAGACGGCGGCAGGGACAGGTTCGGGAGGCGGGGATCGGAGAAGGAGAGCAGCCGAGGCAAAGAGAAGGAAGAGAAAGAGCAGTCAGCCAGAGCCGAGAGCGCAAGAGACGAGGGACACGAGCGAACCAGATTGCTTTAATTTGTTGCGCGTCCAGCAAAAATGTTAATGTCCGTCGGCCGCTCGTAATTCAGCCCCGTCGCGGCCTTCTCTCTTCCAGCACCCTTCTGTCCCCGCGAAGCTTTTCCGTCTACCCCCGCCGACCAACGAACCTAACTCGTCCCCCTATCTCCGTTATTCTCTTTCACGCGGCCGCTCTTATCTGAGGCTTTATGCTCGCTTTTGCGCCGATCCAATGCGACCCAGGGTGCAGCAAGGGGTTGGAGGTCGTACGATATACTATCCCCGATACGGGTTAGGCTCCTGGTGCGGATTCTGCGGCCCGGAACTGGGGAACAGGTGGAAAAATTGGTCGAACGCTTCCCGCATTGATTTTCTGCAAGTCCTCGCATATAAAATAACGATATTGGATCAAATTGATTTTGACTAGGTGAATGCAGAAATTCGTGGTCGAAATAGAGGATAAAATTGTGTATAGTGAGATGTTCCAGTGGCTATTGTGCATTTTTCATATTTTACGCGCGCTGCTTAAAAGTATTATAGGACAGAAAAATTTGTGATAAAATTGGGCAACTTCGTCCATCGATAACTCTGCGAAAAGTCATCGTAAGATGACGATCTTTATTTTAAATTAAAGCTCGAAATCTCTACTTTATGACCGTGTTTCTGGATTTTAAGTTTGATGCACCCTCGTCACTGTAACCCTTTAGATACGAGGCCATGTTTGTCACATTAAAAATTGCCAAGTTTGACTGAATGTACAGAGTTTATACAATTTTTTCCCGAGATGTAGATTGCAGTTGAATAAAGCTTGATCCTTCTCCTTTAATTAAAAAAAAGAGAAACTTGACTGCGATTTTTTTCGCAACCCGAGTTTGTTTAACAATTTCAAATCAATGAAAGGTAAGAGATGAACCAACAGAAAGAGATACGAAATAAGATAAAATTAAAGCGAACAAACAAATGCAACTGAGAAAAAAATGTTTTCTTATACCTAAAGCATCGATTTATACGTTATCACGATAAATGTTATTTCCACGGTGCCGCTAATTCGCCGTAGAAGAATTCACAAATACCACACACGTTGCATCGTCATTACACACCGGAATAAAATACTGCATTATCGTTGCACACTCGAACGAAATTCTGCACGAAAGAATACGCGTGGAGAAACTTGCCGGCATACGAAATTACACGTGGAGATTCGCAGTGGGATCTTCGTTCGGAAAAATCGCGGAAAGAAGAGAGACCGAGCGAGCCGATGGAAGCATAAACGCGCGCACCAGGAATTATGCAAATAAATTATATATCGACGCGGGGATGAATAGCCGGTTTACCGAACTGCATTTACATACTGGAGGTACGAACGGCCACCGTAACAGAAGCGAAGGATCTCCCCGTAGGAAAAAGTCCGTGGCGAAGCAAAGTAGAGCGAACCGAGGTAAAGCGAACGAGGACTCGGGGGATAGGGATGTGGTATATCGGACTGTCGCCTCTGTAAATCCTTGGTGCCCGGTAACACCGCCACCGTCGTGCTGCAGCCTTATCATCGTCAGGGCCGCAGGACTAGCAAGAGATTCCAGGAAACCCGACGACGGTCCTGCACGCAGTTCCCCTTAATATTAACATAACGTTCGTGATGCATCTCGCCCGCAACGTAAACCCGACCGTTCCAGAACAAATATCATTTTTCCAGCGGCGTCTCAACTCGGATATACATTAAAACGTACCTCGTAGAATTTTAAACGCTCTTGGAACCTGTCCCTCGGATGCTACAAATGGTACAAGCGCGGGACTTGTTTGGTAATTGCTCGACAACCGAGATAAAGCTGACACGATTTTTAGTTTCTTCTGCTTTTCTGTGCGCGTTCTGTTAAAGCGTTCGCGTCGTGTTTTCTTCGCCGATCGTGTCTGTAAAATGTGTGCACGCTGTTTACGAAAATATAAGACAATGTGCAAGCAAATTGCGAAAATATAAAGTGTTGCTAAGAAAATGCTAGCGAATTGGGAAATTATATAATGCCTTAAAAAATGATCAGGCAAGGCGAAAGCATTTCACAAAAGGTACAAACGAATTGTGAAAATTGTGGCTCGAAACATGTGCAAGTAAACTCTGAAAATATAGACTATAATTATAAAACTACGAAAATTATAAAACCTCGAACAGTCATAAAATGTTAAAATTACTACTTGATGTTTTTCCGTTAGATGTAAAAATTACAGAAGTCCACTATCGAAGTTCCAACAATTCTAAATAATTAAAGTCCTCGTCAAGATTCAAATCTAATGTAAAATTGCAACGTTGCACTTTTAACAGTTTACTCACAATGCATATTTAAAATTACTGAAAATACTTTCTCAAAATTACTGAAAATTCTTTAAAATTACTGGAAAAACATTTTTAAGATTATCGAAAATACCTTTTTAATTGTTTAGGCACACGATTTCAGTTATAAATAAAAATATGAAAAATGGTAGGTTCAGCATGATGCTTTCGCAGGTAAAACGTTGAGAAGCCAGAGAGGATGGTAGAAGCAACGGGTTCGAAGAGTCACACCAAAGGATGCTTCCCTGGTTGGCGGGAGCACAGTACCGGACCACGGCGGTCGTCTCCGTGTATCGTTTGATCTCGTTAATAGGACCGCATTGTCCTGAATCTACATACTCCTCTACGTACCCTTTCCCCGGTGTGCACTTCGTCGTCTCGACAAAAAAACCAAGAGGCCGTGGGGGACAGGGGAGCCGAAGAAGAATGGGGTACGTGCGCGCGTGTACGCTCGCCAAAAGCACTTCGATAAATTGTTTCGAAAAACATCGGTACAGTAGATAAAAAAAAAACAATCGAAATTCCAGTGAACCTGTCGTCGCGGAAAGTATTTGCGCAAACAAGACATTTGCGCGAACGAAAGAGGAACCTTTAAAAACAGAATGTCTCGCAGAAAATCATTCGATTCGTGCGGAACGATGTTTCTCTTTTCAATAAATTAAGTAATGTATTAGGAAGAACATTTTTCAATAGGCGAATATTCGAATGAGAATTTTTTGAGCGAACGTTAGATAAATATTCTTCGCTTTGTTTGATAGATAGATATTTTTCTTGGTTGAGAAAATTTAGAGCACTGTTTTATCAAACCTTTGCGGACGAGGATTTTCGAAAGTGCTAAGAATGGATTTTTTATCTATTAAAATTATCTATTAAAGAGTTTAATAATGGGAAAAATGGACAGTATATCCTGATTATTTCTTGTAGAATATTTCTTATTTATATTTCTTATTTTTTAATCAAATTTCTAATCAAATCATATGCTTGCAATTTTTGACCAAGATTAAAAATTAATATATAATTATAATAGTATAATTCTTTTGTCGTGAATATCGTCGACATTCGAGTGCGAACTTTTGAGTAAAAGTTGCATGATTTGTCTGCAATATTTTGGTCACTGTGTGCGATTATTTTCCTCAAATCGGTACAAACGAAATTATTAAACACGATTACGCACGGGCATAGCATCGCCGTGATACCAAGAACGCCATAAATGTATGTACGAGAGTTCATTAATTGTCCATTAATATTTTCCGCACGAAAGGCGATATTTCCGTGACGCGAGAATTTTGCGGAGGAGCGAAGCGTACCTGATTTTTCCCCGCGAGTGCTGCAGCATTCCGAAGAAAATCCTTATAAGAAAACGGGTACAAGTTGCTCCTTACCATACGTTCCTTTGTGCCCGTTCCTCCTCCTTCTTTCTCCGGTTCTTTCCTCCTGCCGAGCCTTCTTATCCACGATGCAACGTCCCTCGAGTCTGTTACAACGCACGGACTGCACTCATCATCCTATTGTTCTCTAATGAATCCGTAGATGCTGACGGAAGCGCCCCTGCCCACAAGATGCATGGGACAGGTTGCGTCTCCCGTGCCTCTTCTTTCCTCCGTGTCGTTTCCCTTAAACCTGCTCCCCTCCCGCGCCGCCCCTCGCCGTACAACGGGGCCCCGAACAGGCCCCGGCGGAGTGTTGGCCGGCTATAAACGACGAAAAAAAATTATTTAGGCATAACGAGTCGGAACTCTAACTCTCCGGGCCTTTGTGAAATCACTCAGCCGCACTACATCACCTAACCGAGAATCCTGGTGGCTAAGAGAAACGACTGCCCACCTCGCTTTCTGTTAGAACGAAGAATGGAGTATGACGATGATGAAGCACGATATTGCGGCCCCGTCATCTGTGCTTGTCAACGAGGAATGTTTTTCGAACGCTGGGCCGCGGGCTCGAAATTTAACTACAACGGGGACGGGGCGCGGGTTTTCCGTCGTGTCGCCGCCGACTGGTCACTCTGGAAATTTGAAAGCTGACTGATCAGAGACATTGGAATCGAAATTTCGGGCCTAATTTCGATCTCGCGGCACGTGGACACTCGATTCTCGTCGGGGACCGCGATTCCGTGACAAGGCGATTCCAAGGATCGCTGTTGTCTGTGCTCGGTCTACAATTTTCTCTGTTGGACGCTTCGCAACTTAGTCTGTATCATCTTTTCTATCAAGCTTATGGTTGCTAGAGCAGAGGAAAATTGCTGTATAATCTTTAAAATACCATGATACTTTAAATTCTTTTCGAGGAAGTGATCGAGGATGCGAAAGTAGTTAGGACACGTTTATTTCACGCCTTGGATCGATCGCTTGTAGGAGCCTCAATTTTGATTTTTTCTGGATGTAAAAATTTGTGAGTATTGCTAAATCATGCACGAAAGTGCCCACTGTGGTCTCATAACGATAGCTTTCACCGTTCTCCGATGAAAAATCGCGGAAGTTCCCCTAAAATAGGGTAGCGATGTCGCTTACTGAGTTAACCAATCGTTGAGTTAACTAATAATTGACTTCATACTTATCGAATGAGACGTATTAAATATATTTATCCTCCTATTTTGTTTATTCTTGAATAAAAAATTTCATACGTCTTACTCGATAAGTATGAAATTACGCTAACAGACTTCAAAGTAGGTGACATAACGCTATAACGCTTTAATCCACTCCAGCAAGAAAAATCCGATAAACGATAAATAAAAAAATATATTTGCACAATCCCAAGTCGCATCTACGTCGCGGAACAATTACGTGACGATCCGCCGTCGTCTCCGTGTACCAATAAAATCCGAAAATTGCTCAATTCGAAACTTGTTCGGCGATGGTCGGGCTAAAGGAAAACCACGATCACGATTATTCGATCCCGTATCAACCGGATCCACGTGTCGCGAACCAGTTTCCCATCGTTTCCGTCGCGCACGGATCCATTATTTACGTCGATACGAATTTACTTACGGTGGAATCTCGATCTTGATCCCGCGGCCGGGGTTGAGGGATGGGACGGCGACCGATGCCGGACAATACCGTATATCTCTCGCGGTCGTTTTATGGAAATTCGTTCGGCGGGACTCTCGTCGTCGATACAATGATCGGTTGGCCTCGATACCGATCGTGCCGCAGCACCTGTGCCCTACGTGTCGTTGCCGCCACCTTCCTCGCTCGTATATGCGAGCGCACGCCGACGGAGGAAGACCGTGGAGAAGAAGAAGGATCCTGCGGGTCACTGGCCGGAGCTCCTTTAAATATGGAAGAATCGGGGGAGATCGCGATAAGGAGGGTCAGAAGCGGGTTACGAACCAGAATTTCGTTGTCATGTAAATTACTGTCTCTACGCCGTCTCTAACTAACCGGGGAACCGGGCTGAATTCAATCTCGGGGCCACGATTGGAGAGGAACGCTCGCTCCTCGGGAATGCACCGTGAGATCGACTCAATGGTATATCAAATAATGATGTCGCGCCGTAACGAAGATATTGTTCAGCCATAACGGAAGCCTACGCCCCGGCCCCCACCCACCCCCGGTACGCTCGCCTTACCCGGTTTTTTCGTGGCCCTTGTTTACCTTGTTACGCGCAGCTTCGTAATTCGCGGGCAATTTGTGCGGTCGGCCTGGAAAATTTGCGAGCTCTTCGACGTGATAAGGATCTCGATTAGAAATGCATTGTTCTTTCGTTTCTTAGCTCTCGTTTCCTGGTGTCCAGCAGATAGAATGGTGAAACGTCTGAGTAATGGACAATTGCGTTTACAAATTCCTCCGCTAGAAACAAATAAACAGAAGGCGAGATGAAATGAAAATTAAAGCATGATCGAACAAACGTAATTTTTAACAAATGGGAATTTTAAAAATGTTTCTTTGCAGCTGAAGGATGAACCCATGCATCTCTGAAAATGATATTCGCGTATCTTTATTAATAGTCCAGAAAAAGAATTATAAAATTATTCTGATCAAATCGAATTAAATGAGTATGGTCGATTGTGTTAAAAAATAAATGACCAAACACAGATGCAACTAAAAAAAATATCTGCTTGTAACTCGAGAATGCATCTATAAGTACGTAAAAAGTTTATTCGCGTATCTTCGTTAGTATATCAGAAAAAAAGTTCGCAAAACTCGTAAATACAAGAGCGGTTCGAAAACAATTATTACCATCGTCCGATTTCATGAATACGTTCGACAGTGTCACAGAAATGAACGAACAAACGAATGCGTCTGAAAAAAATTTCTTCTCGTAGACGAAGGATGCACCTACATTTTTCCGAAAAGTTTATTATCATATCTCAACTAGTACCCGAAAAAAAAATTCATAAAATGCGCTGATAGAACGAGGGTTTTCAAACGATTATCACGAAGAATCGATGGATCACAGGGAGGGCTTCGACAGGACAAAAATGTGCCGTAGCAATGGCAGCATCCGAGGATATCCTGGATCGATGCCGGCTCGAAGGATGCCCAGAAACAATGAACACGTAGAAACGCTACGGGTCCTCTCGAGTAGAATGGTTTCCTGGTAAGATAAACAACCTCGGCCATCGAAACGAACGACGTCGGACCACCTCCGTGTCTCCCATAAAGACAGGCTGGTCCTGTGACCGCGGTGTAGGTGGAAATAGAACGTCGATTTCCCTTTTAATCCGAGGGGACCGGGCGTGATAGCTCGCACGCGTCGCCTGCTCGTTTCCCCGCTGTGGATCGAAGTGTCCCTATAAAACGCGCGTTTTGTGCCCAGGTTTTGTGATCATAAAAGACCGTTTCCCGGTCTCTCTCTCTTTCTCTCTCTCGTGCTCTCTTTCTCTCTCGTGCTCTCTTTCTCTCTTTCGTGCTCTCTCTCCCGCGCTCTGTCTCTCGCGCTCTCTCTTTCTCGCGCTCTGTCTCTCGTGCTCTCTTCTTCTCGCGCTCTGTCTCTCGCGCTTTCTTTTCCTCACTCTCTCTCTCTCTCTCTCACGCTCTCTTTCTCGCTCTCTCTGTCTCTCGCGCTCTCTCTCGCGCTCTCTCTGTCTCTCGCGCTCTCTATCTCGCGCTCTGTCTCTCTCTCTCGCGCTCTCTCTCGCGCTCTCTCTCGCTCTCTCTCTCTCTCTCTCCCCTTCTGTCTCTCTCTGTCTCAGTGGGCCGAGGCGTGGCCCCGTGGTCCGCCTAGGTGGCCCGGCAGTAACTTACGCCCGGCCATCACCAGAGCTATCCGAATAACGCCGCGCTATCTTAAATATCCAGCAATTTATGCGTTTACACGGATTATCTCGCCGCGGGTTTACGGCCGGTAGTTACTTAATCACGTTAGGCACCGTAAGCCACCATCTACCCCGTGGACTTATTTATACGTTTCTCGGGAGATGGACTGCGAATCAGGTGCAAGAGTTTCGCGGGATTCTTTTAATCCTGCAAACTGTTCCCCTTTGCACTAGGTCTTCTGTGATATCAGAACAATTGTGAGATCGCCGTGGCATGATGCTGACTCCTCTAGAATTACAGTTCTGAAATCGATCTTTACATAAATCCTCATTTTAATAAGTTACTTTATGAAGATCATAATAGAGCAAAAATTGATCGCGCTGAATCGAAGACTTTTTCGGTCAAAGCGTGTCCTCGCGTCTTACGAGTAATGGATAGAGAGATCTAAAACCTACCGATCACCAATAAATTGTTCAAAAAGAGACGATTCGCTCCCAATTCCAAAAAAATAGAGATCGAAGCCAAGACAGTAGAACTCGAAAGCTAAAGAAACGAATTTTTCTGAGGCTCATTGTTCGCTCCTTATCTCGCGACACTACGCGCAGATTAGACGGTGCTCGGTCAGCAAAAAATGGACCGACGAAGGATCGAGTTTCCGTTGTGGAGAAAACTTTATTATCCTTTTCATTCCGCTGGTCCCCTGCGAGGAGTCCTGCTAAGGCCGCAACGGAGCTTATCAAGTAATAAAGAATTGACTTTTTCTTTAGAATAATTCTTCACTACTTTATTGCGCCATAAAGAACCGTGGCCAACTTCTTGAAACTTAACGAGGCAGACGGACGAAGCACGAGCGCGTATCAGGGCCCACGGAATGCGTGTGCGTGCGACACGCGCGCGCATCCACGCACGAACAGTCGAACGAAGATACAGGTTGCCGGCCGCACCTGTAAACTCCATCGCGTGGGCGTCGGAGACCGCAGCCAGACATCGAGAAGCTGACGTGAAATTGTCAATTTCGGCTTAACTTTCATAATATCCGACCAAATCCGAGGCAACGTCGATCGACCGGCCACGCCGAGAAAAAGAAATCCGAATACCTTAATTCCTCCTCGACGTTCGCCGTGTCCGACACATTTGTTTCGATTGCGGGTACTATGTTTCTTAATTTACTCCTCTTTTTCACGCAAACCGAGACGCACGAGATGCACATTCTTCGGTAGAACAACGAATTCTGCGGGGAATCGATAGAATTTCGGTTGAAGCGAGACTATTTTAGCGAAGTAAAAATTTGCTATGTTTTATTGCAATGAAATAAAAATGAATTTCTTCCATTAATAATTTTAATATGCCAAAAGTAGTACGACGATACTCTGAAATTCTCAGTTAGTTATTAAATGAGCAATATTTTCAAGCATGACTGTATGTATAGACTGCGATTTTTATGCATTTGTTGCAGAAATTAATAAATCAAGTACGAAATAAAAGAAAACGTTTAAAGGCTCTTCCAGCTAAGTGTTACATTATTTGCGAATTACTAAATCGATTGCAAGAAGAAACATATTTATATTTAACTACTGTTCATCGTCATTAATGCTGGCAATTTTTGCGCAAAATAAAAATTCTCTTAATACTGTTAGTTCTTTTATTGAGTTGAAAATAACAGGTCAGTATCTTTGAAAGGATATTTAAGAACATTGATAATTCTAAGAACTCTATTTAACTTCTTCAACAATGGTTTTGCCTCAATGCTTCAACAAGCTTTTATCAGTATAAAATTGCACATAGTTTTCAGTCTGCATTAGGTGCACGTTCTGTCATAAACAAATTTAAGAAAATCACTTCTATAAATGACCTTATTGTCTGCTTTTAATCCTCGGACAGAGGATCATTTTTAAAACTATAAAACTGACGACGTTTATGAACATTCTCAGCTTTATTCATCAATTTATCAAAACATATTTCTGATAACATTCTGATAATGTCTCTGTTAATTTCAGCGAATCAGAAACTGATTCGGCTACCAAAAATCGAGGAATTCGGTAACGATTCAGGAACGCGTAGTCGAAAGAACTCGCGACCCGCGGGTTAATATCCGTTGAATTATGTGGAAGATGTTAACGACACCGGTTACTAGGACACCTACCGTATATTGAACAACTACGAGCAGGGTTCAAACGGCACGGTGAACCCTGTAGGTGCTGGTTAATTGGAAGCACAAACCGTGACCAGGATTTCGCAAGTGTTTCTCGTTCGATGTCCGATGAATCAGCCGCGTTTCTCCATTTTGGCAACGCAGTGAATCGTTGCATTCTTCGGCGCTAAATGCGTCGACCCTGTTGCCCCTTCCACCAGCAACGCGGAGGAGAAGAAGAAGAAGACGAAGAGGAGGAGGAGGAAGAAGGAGGAGGACGAGGAGGTGGTGGAGATGGAGGAGGTTTCTCTGGTTCGCGGGGAGACTGAAACCTTGGACGGTCCATAAATTACTTGAAATAATGATGTCAGCCCGGTAATGAACGTAATGTACACCGGTTGGTGTGTGCGTTCAAAAGGATAAAGAGGGTCCTCGACGGGGACCTCTGGCACACTCCCATCGGCCGCTTCAAAATTGCACGGTTTATTTGCGATCTCGTACAGAATCTACTCCTCAAAGTCGCTTTTACGCGACGATCGTCGATCTCCAATTGACCGTTGACAGCGTTCGCCGGATCGCCGTCGAGCCGGCGAAAGTTTTTCGGTGGACGGGAACGTCCGGGTTGCAAATATCTTGTCCTATCGTCGTGGTTCTCTACCGTGCGACACGGGCCGCAATAATTTCGCTTGTACGGGTTACCGCGCGGGGCCGCTCGATCGGATAATGGACGGCATAAGTTAAAATTTCGGCCGATACACGCGAAAACAGGTGAGTTACGAACGGAATTATGTGACTTAAGGCCGGCGACGCGCGTACGTCCCCGAGGCTCGCTGATTTTATTGGCAATTTGTCCCGGGCCGATCGAATTTATCGCGAGTGGACCGTCCCTCTTCGAGAGCTCCCTCCACCTATTCCCTTCTCTTTTCTTCCCTCGCCGGGCTTTTCTGTCTCGCCGCTTCCTTTTACTCATTTTCTTTCGTCGTTCTCTTTCCTTCCTTCTTTCTTTTTCTTTTTTTTTCTTTGTTCCTCGTTTACGCTCCTCGCGGGATTCTGAATTTCTCAATTAACGCCGACGGAACCTCCATTTAGTAGCGTCCTGTCCCGAAGCGTTTTAAACGCTCCTCGTAAACCTCGCGTACCCTTCTCGCCCGTTAATAAGTGGCTTTTATGAAAGATACAAGCGAGAATGTAAGAAAATTGTTTTTAATGGAGTACTTACGCGCCCCAAGGCTGTTGAGCGATCGCCCTCACCGCGACGTTTCCCGTAATCCTGGCGGGGGGGGGGGGGGGGGGGG